AAGAAGCCCAGTTATATCGAAATTGGCTTGACCCATTAAAAATAAACTTTTTGCAAATAAAAGAACCCAATAATTATATCACTATTTCATGTAAAGTATATGATTTAGAAATACCTCATATATTACTCAATACAGATTCAGATAGATCACATATTTCTGAAAATATCGCAAACTATTTTATAAAATATTTTGGGTTAAAAATAGATAGAAAAAAGGTTTATAGACTAACAGAAGCTGTAGATAAAAAATATTTTATTGGGAGCTTTTTGATATACCTGTTACTATAGGTGTTGGAAATGATACCTTAACAATTTCAGATGAGTTTTCAGTTTTACTAACAAAAAAAGATAATAATAGTAATAATATATCATTATTTATTCTTGATACTAGATAGCAATATTTAGCTGGCTGGGAACCTATAGTAAAGAGTAAGTTTATAGCATCAGTTAATGGAAAAGGTATTACTATTCCACTTTTTGTTTATAATAAGGATGAAATTAATAAAAAAATACATGAGCTATAAGGAGTTAGAAAAATCACTATATACTATTCTCAAGTCTAAAACTGAAATAAATAATCTTTGTGAAAAGTTGCAAATGCATTATGAAAAGTTGCAAATGTGTTATGAAAAGTTGCAAATGCATTATGAAAAGCTACTTGAATATATTTTCTTCATAGATAATAATATAGATAAAAAAAAGATAAATCTATGTAGTAGCTAATAGGCGAGACATATTCACTTTATTTTTCTCACCTTTTCTGGCTTCTTTTTTATATAATTCATTCAGATCCTTACTATTTATTTTTTCTATTCATTAAATGTAGATATTATTACATCAGAGTTATTAGTAGGTATTGAATCAGATATATGAGAGTAGAGCTCATTATTATATAATATAGATTTAGACCAGGATTTGGAACTTCTCTTTTTATTTTTGCATTACTGTATTAAAAAGAGTAGTAGATATAGATAATATTTCAGTAGAAATAGTACTTTGTATTATTTGTTGTTGGTGTTCTTGATCTTTCTATATATCATCTACTTGATATTCATTAATATGAAAATCTCTCATAATTCTATACTTAGATACCTTATCTTTGAGCGATCTAATTGTTTCTATCTGCTCAGAAGTTAGATATGTAGATTTTTGGCGATAATATAATTTTAGAAATGGAGTATTCATAATTTGATTTTTATCCAATATTTAAAATGATATTTAATATTTTAGAATAATAAAAAATAATACATAATATTATAGTACAATAAAAAATAACATCTATCATTATAAATGAATATGAAATATTGGCGTAAACAAGACTTTAGCTAATAAAACTAATACAAAGTACTAAAACCAAAATAAAAAATTAATTTATAACCTAATTTAACAATATCTAATATATTTTTTAATAATCTAGATTATCTAACATTAAATATCATTATATAATAATAGAAATTATTAACAAAATTAGTTTTATTAACATCTGTATATTATTTATTATTTAGCAGAGCAAATGCAAGATGCTAATATGGCTAATGTATATACATTACAAAATATTAAAAGCTATTGACTTGGTAGTATATATGAAGAAGAGCTAGAAAAAAAACTACACAATGCTATCAAATCCAAAACTAAAATTAATAAGCTTAGTGAGAAATTGCAAGATAAATACATAAAGCAAATAAAGGTGTTTGATCAAGAAAGAAAAGGGTAGAATTGGAATTTGTTACGAAATAATACTGGGATCTAAAAGTTACGCATCTATACTTTGCAGGTCATTAATGAGCATAAGCAACTACAAAATGAAAATACCAATCTTATTTCTTATAATGCACAAAAGAATATTTTTATTGCTGAATCCAAGGCTGAGAATATTACAAAATCCAAGAAAATTAGATTGCTTGAGTCTATGATCAAGATATTAGAAAGTAAGTAATTGATTATTTTTTAGAGTTTTGCACTTATTTTTCTATTTGATATATCGATTTGTTGTAAGATTTAAGA